CTTTTTTTTTTTGGTCGGTGTTGTTAGTGTGAGGGGTCCTTTGCTTGTATGCTTATGGTGATGAAGGGAAGTGGTCAAAGATTAAAAGTTGGTGGAGAGGTGGAGAGATGTGTGTACCTTGTTTTGCTCCTTGGCAAGCGTGTCGTAGGCTGCGAGCAATTGCGCTTGCTGGTCTGAGCCCGGCAGCTTGAACATAGTAACGCGGTGTATGAGTCGAGACATTTTTATTGCTGTCGTTGTCGCTATCGTTGTTCCGATCGTTCCTCGTTGAATCTAGTCGGTTGCGTTTTGTCGACAATTCCCGGATTGATCCCGTTCTTCTCTGCAGATATCGTGGGGCTTCTTGGTGAGGTGTCTCTTTGATGAATTCGTCCACTCTGCGCTTTTACGACTGATTGGTAGTTCGTGAATCGTTATGTCGTTGAAAATGATACGATGACTGGGAAAACATCGAGGTCAAGAGCTGGTCAACGAACGGGGAATCAAGAGATTGGATACCGTACCCCCATTTATAATCGACCACGAGACCATAGTTCTATGAGTTATGGGAACATATCCGCCATACATGCTCACCCTAGCGCCAGCGAATCAAGAGTCGTGTCATGCTCATGCAGCGTCAGCGGCTAGTCGGGTCAGACTTCAACCAAAGCACCGCACATTTTGTGTGGATCCTCCACGGCGTCGGTGGTGACCCATAAGAGAATTTGCGGAGAGCCGCGGCGATCTCCTTTTTTTTGGGGCGATGTCGGCGGGTTGCACCACCGGCAATCTTTTTTTGGTTTTCCGCTGCTACGGAACCTGATATGGCTGCGTTCGGCACTTTGGTCAGCTCTTCGTGCACCATTGTATCCGAACGGACCCGGTTGTGTAATGCGTCGGGAGAGGTTGCCAGATGTCCGCTGTCCCGAATCCTCCGTCTAGGCAGACTGGCTCTCTACGTAGAGTAGTACGTAAGTCTACTTTGACTGTGCATGATAGACTTGTACATCAGATCGTGCATGCATCGGCTAACAAGATTCGACCAAGCTCGGAAGGCCATGTGTAGACAGAGTTACATTTCGGCAAGGACTTTGCAGAACCAAAAAAAGAAAAGAATGCGCAAGTAGGTCAAAGAGCACGCACGCACGTCGTCGAAGCAGAACACTAGTAGTCGCAAAGGGTACTAGTAAAACGTTTCAACTAGCAGACTAGCCCTAGTCATATCTGTACCAAAAGGACATGAGACCGCAGCCCGCCGAAAGTTGGTACAAGGATAATGTACTTCCCACGCATCATTCCACGCGTCTTTCGTTCACCGAACTGGCAAAGTTAACTCAAAATCAAGCTCTAAACAAAACCACTAATCGCCAACGTTGAACCCCCAAAAACAATCCAAACAATAGACTCCCACGCGGACCCCCTTTTCTTAGAGTCCTTTTAAGGTCTGCTACCAAGAAGCTTATCTTCTCTCTACGTAATTCCGTCTACATAACTCGGTCTCCATCTCTCTCTCTCTCTCAAAAAAAAAAAAAGCTTTACCGACAGAAACAAATTTACAACCAACGCAATTAGTAAGCACCACGTTTAATCCCCCAAGTGTGCATGACGTCGACTAACCAATTCTGACCTCAGTCTTACTACCCATCACGCCGCGATTGACCGTGTGTCGAGTCGACGTCAAATGTTGGAACTTTATATCTCACGTACGAACCAAAACCTTGTGTACAGTACTTGTTCATCTGCCGAACAACTTCTCACCTTCACTATTCAACCTAATCTCATCCGACACTTAGTTTTAAGCCTTCTGTCTACGCTTTCTCTCAATTCATATGCCGCATCATCATGCTTTGCACGTCGTCAAGTAATTATGTAACGAGGAAACAGTGCAAGATCTACATTACAATCTCGGACAACATACCCTTGCATACCCAAATTGTCACGGGACCCCTGTTAAGTAAGAAAAAGCTGCCAGCAGACCTGGTATCCGATGGTATTAAGTTAATAAATATCGATAAACTTCAAAGAGATATCTCCTGTCTCTGCTCGTTCCCTCCTCTTCCCCAACATCACTTCCGCCTTGAAAATTTGACTTTTCTCTACCTCTCAAGAAGCTTGTCATTGTTCAAAGTTAAAAGACTGATGACGGTGACACTTGTTTGTTGCAACGAAAGCAACTACAATGTTGACTCTCCTTGCTCTTGCTCTGGCTTCCTCTGAGCCGACAACAGCCATGTGAGCGTGTCGATCGTGGATGTCTGGGCTGAGTCAGACTTGAACGGTTTTTTTCACAAGGCTTTGAGCTTGGGGGGTTTTCCAACCCTCGTTTCAATCCTCACTGAATACCCTGCCAGACAGATGCATCATTGGCACATCCTTAAGAGCTGGGCACCCAGAGCAAGAGGGCCTTGTAGTGGCCTGCAGGCACACCAGTCTCTTCGCCTCCCCAGACAAAGTACCAAAAGTCAATGACATCCGACGAAGATGAAGGCAGAGCGGGAATGTCGTAGTACTGAATTTGAAGGCTCGGTGGTCAGTTTCAAGGTCATACAAGGAGGAAGCGGAGGAACAAGACAAGAGCTCAAGATCACTTACCAGATCGGCGTCGCCAGTGCCTAGGAAGTCGTAATCCGTTCCTTGCTGTAAAATATATATCTGTTAGCATGGCTGTTCGCTGTCAAGGAATGCTCATTTGGGCTCCCCGCTGCACCTTCAACAGAAAGAATCTGCAGAAAGTCCACAGACTGGTCCCAGTAGAGTGTAGAGGAACAATATTATAGAGAGCTGTTATTAAGAACAAAAGTACGGGCAACATACAATAGTGTAGAACTCGATGTCACTGGTAGTTGGAGTGTGTTCCCAGCACGTGAGAGCGTAAACCGAGGCGCCGTAGATATCATCCGTGTTGGCAGGCTGGGACGTGTTTTTAAAAGAGCAGACACCAGCCGAGGTCTCGACATAGTAAGTATCCACCGGAGCGCTATTTCAGATAAGACCATATTAGCGGTTTAGTCTTCAAATGCGTCAAAATGCGTTGTTTTCGGTCTCTCAAAGGCAGAAGCATTGTGTTTCACTCACAAGATCGCACAGTCGCTGAGCGTCAGTTGGCCCAGAGCATTCAGGCAGCCCACAGAGTCGTCCGGAGTCGTTGTTGTGTAGCTGGTGGTAGCATCGACATCACCGCCGGAGCCGACTAGCACCTGGAAGATGCCAGCGCTGGTAATAGGACCGGTAGTGGAAACCACGCGAGACTGGATGCGAGCAGCCTTGCCAGCAGTGGCCAAGGGGGCAGCCAAAAGGCCAAGAGTGAAGGCAAGTGTAGGAAGCATGATGAGGACTGTTGGGAGAGTTTTTGCAGGGACAAAGACACGTTGAATCTGAGGCAAGTAGAGTAGTTGGCGAGTGATGCTGATGGTGATAAATCGTCTTTGTGACGCTCAGTAAGGCGACCGATACTGTCAACTTATAGAGCATCACTCTAGCCCAGAAACGTGCCGGTCCAAGAAGTTCCATACATACGAGCAGCGACCCCTCAGCCGGGCATCGGCCAGTTCGTCGCCAAAATCTAGGCAGTCGTGGGTAAAATCCAGCTATGGATGATGAACCTGGTAATGGAGTTGGGATTGCACGATGCCCTGGTGCAGGATTTGTAAGTGAATCATCCTTGAACCGTGGCCAGCTGCTAGGCTATCAATAAGGGCTCTCGCATCTGCAGTGGTGCCACCCCACAAACCGAGATGGCCTGAGACGTATCCTGGTAGAAGCCAAGCAACGGTGAGCTCGCCGAGCCACGGTCTTCCTCTCGGGCCACAGCACTGGTCCGTTTCGGGCGGAAACGTTCTGACAAGAGTGTATATATCAGCACTTCTGTATAGCATCCCGCAGCCCAGGCTCCAAGCTGTTCGAAACCAGGCGCCCCCACTCTGGCTGTGGGCGTGCCCTCAACGCACGTCGGAGAATGGGACTCTACAGCTGGGGTCTGGCATCTGTACCCATCAAGATGTATCATTCGCCATCTCTGGATGCTAAACAGGAAGCTTCTGAGATTCAATGATGGAGAAAGGAATCTGGTCGTACCATAGCCTCCACTGAGGTTTCCACGCATGTCGATATCCGAGAAGCCCAGGCGAGTTCCAGCTGCTGGTCAATGGCAGTCTAACGAGTAACAATGGTCTTGTCAACTGCGTTGGCAAATTCTCATAGGACCTGAAGCCGATCCGACAGTCTGGACCCTCGAATGACCCTCTTGGAATGGAACATATGAGTGACCAGCCCGGGGTTGTGTCGCGCAGGGTTCCACGCACCGAGAAAATGCATACACGTACAGTCAGGCCATGGTGCATTGGTGATCCTTGGCAAGCTGCTCCTTCGTCCCATGCCTCCGCCGAGGAAGCATTGATTGCATTCTCATTAGTCGGTGATGGCGATGCACAGGCTGTAATGTGGCCCGCAATTTGCGGTCGCAAAGGACAAGGAGCCTGGAGGATGCGACTCGCGAGCCTTCAGAACATGCTCTCCACTTTTGCATGCGCTGCTGAGCGCGCAAGACGTCGAAAGAGGCAAGAGGCCGAAAGCATCGCTAATCAGCTGCAGCATGGGGCTGCAAGACAGCAACGCAGGTCGCTGGCCCGGTGCAAGTCCAGTGCTTGGGCTTGGGCAGCCTTCGCTTGCATGTCCACGATGGAGGATGGCGGCATCGGCACTGCGACTTGGGGCAGGTGGTGGGCTGCGCGCGCTACTGGCTGCGAAAACCGCGACGCAAGGTACAATCCATATGCAGAGATGGATAAGAAAAGGTGGAACAGCCGGGAGGTTCTGGGGTGTGGCTCGCTCCTTGACAGTGCTGTACTGAGGTACTGAGATGGCAGGCCGTTATACCTGTGGTAGCCCGCAGCCGAGGGAAGGAGGTGGGCGAGAGCCGTCAATAACTGAACAAGCGCGCTAAGCGAGGTCTATACCAACGGTATCTGCCAGGTCAGCTTGAATCAATGATACATATTCTTCTTATACTAATCTAATAACAAGCATCCGTGGTGTAATGGTAACATTCCAGCCTTCCATCATGTTAAGCTTGAGCCTCGGGTTCGATTCCCGACGGATGCAAATACTTTTTGGGTTTGCTGCGTCCTGTTTTTCTTTGTCTCCCTCCCTTCAATCCGCCCAGAATTTGGCTCGGTTTTTCTGCTTTTGCCCTTTCGACTTCCCAATATTTGAAGCGTGTTAGTGCTACCCAACGCAGTTGCAAACCGGTGGCCATTCCTCAGTCTGTAGCAGTTGGCTCTCAACCAAAGAATTACCGACTCCTTTGAATCAAGCGTTACAGGACCCAAGGTCCACATAGTACAGAGAATTCAGTCATAGCTGCCTATCGAACCGAGCAAAGGAATCAGGAGAACAGCTTGTCGGGTCTTAATAGTAGAAGCGAATCTTTCGGTGGACAGTAGTTCTTAATCGGGTCAATACAGATGCTGCTGGGCAAACACACAGTCCGAGGACTTGGTCAGATCCGCGGGCACAGTACAGACAAGCAGAGGAGCCAGGAAAAAAAGAGGCAAATTATGCTCGCGCATTTTGTTGGCTGTCCAGTTGGCTATAAACCACCGCATGGGTGTCTATAACACACTAGACTATTCGGTCGCCGAGCTCTGCAAGTGCTGAAACCATGAAATCATCGCTCGTACGGAAGACTATCTGTACGTACAGGTCATGCAAGCATGACACATGCAATGTGCTGCGCCTTGAATTCAGCAGGTTCCGAAAGGGGAGAAGAAAGACTGGCGGTGTCGAGCGACTCCTCGTGTCGTTGTTGATGCCTGTTGTTGGGAGTCAAAGGAGTCTGCAAAGACAGACGTGGCCGGCCAAGCCACAAGTGGTGGGCCACCGAGATGATGTCAAAGGGCCTTTTTAGGCTTCGGTGCTATGGGAGCTCCCGTGCTCGGGCCGCTATAGTGCCAAAGGGCCAAAGGGCACTAGGTTCGGATTCTAGAAGATTGAGGGCGCTGCAGGGCCCAGCTGATGAGGTAAGCTACACGCAAGCTGCATGGGCGTAGCCACTGAACTACTAGTAGTCCCACCGCCTGTTCACGGTCTCAACTGTGCACTTGAACATTTGTACCGATTGACAGCAGGCCCGAGCGGGGAGAGACCCTGAGAGAATGCCATCGCCATCGCCATCGCAACGGCAACGGCGACTTTCTTTCCTGGCTTCGGACTACCACGAGCTAGCGTGATAGTGTGCAGATTGTCCTGCCTTGCCGCACGGCAAAGCTGCAGAAATCCCAGATCAAGATTAATAGCGCGCGGCTTTGCGACCCTGGCAGGCTGCCCATCTGGCAAAGCTGGTTCGATGCAACAGGGCAGGGAAGGTGGGGTGGGGTGGTGGCTGGTGTTGTGCTTGCCCAACCACCGTCATGGCGCCTTCCCCTCCGGCCCCAGCCTCCCAACGACGGGCGTCATGGGCAATGCAATTGGAAGTCGCGACACGGCAGCAGCGCACTGGTCTGGCTTGGGTGCTCAAGTGGGTGCTCAAGTGGGTGCTGCAGGTGAAGTGTCGCCAACCACAGCGGCCGCAGCCTCGCTAGGGCTGTGAAAGCCCCTGTGCAGGCCTGCCAACAAACATTGAAGACAATCTCGCCCGTTCGTCATAACGATGGCCAAGCATGAACCTCAACAGCCTCAGCCGTGAACACGTTGTGGAGCCACCTGGTGGGTTGCATGCTTCTTTTTTCCTTCTCTGGAATTGTTCTCTGCTTCTTGTAATTCTTCTTTCCACTTTGCCGGTGACCCAAGATCAGCAAGAGAAAAGCAGGAAGAAAAAGCAAAATCCCATCAAACCCCAGGACTTACAATTCTGACTTTACAGGCCACACCTCGACACGCCACATATCACGAGCCTCATCTCCGCACGACGACGACAGCAACCAAAACACCAACAAAATCAACGACTCTTCTGCCACGAACAATTTCCATGGCGCCCTGATGAATAATCTAGAGCATGATTTACTCGACGACGCCTCTGTCTCCCCCCAACCCTCTAACGTGCGCTTCGCTCCAACGCTTTCGTCATACTCGTCGTCGCGCTCCTCAGAAAACATCTCGGGCCTCGAACGCCACTACGGCCGTACACAGCCACAGTCAATTAATCAGAACCCATCACAAGATCCTACAATGGCAAATCCACCAAGTGCGGGCCCAGCCTCGCCTCATCAAACTCACTACACACCCGAACAGCTGCAAGCAATCGCCATGGCTCAACATCGCCGTAACGATCCTGCCATGCCCATGCCCATGACGAGACCTGTCGAGGAGTTCAGAGACCCATTGGCCTTAGAAGCTGCACGAGTGACACCAGGGATCGACGATACTCCGTACATCCAATACGCCATTGAACAATTGACAAGAGAGCGCGAAGGCGAGTCCTCGCACCCCTCAGTGACGTCGGATGGCCAACCCTACGCTCCTCCAGCCCACCGCGGCTACCGCTCTTCAGACAACGCATCAATCCCACAACCACACCAGAACGGTCACGAGAGACCCAGCATCGACCAGAGCGCTCCGCTACTGGCCGACGCGGGCCTGCGACCTACGTCGCCCAGATCGTCCATGTCAACGCTGGTCAAGGGTCAAGAACAAAATACCAAATTCCCACAAAGAAGACCAGTTCCAGACGCATGGGAACCTGTCAATCCCGAGTTTTTTAGTGATGGACGAGAGCGAATCAACCCACGCCTCATTTTCAAGCCGAGGATACTACGAAAAACATTCATGATACTCCTCATGTTATTATGCGTGCTGATGCTCAGTGGGCTGATCTTTAGTTCCATTTATACGCGGCAGCACACAGGGCTTTGGGACTATGCTGGCACCATCTACAGCGGACAATACTTTATTTTTCGAGTGCTTCCCTCACTGGCTGGAGCATTGATTCTCTTTTGGGCCCAATATATCGTCATTACAATGCTTCGCATTCGACCTTTTGCCAAGCTCGCATCAACCCACAAGGCCACCTCGCGCGATGCTATATTCGAAGATCTCTACCCGACATCATTCTTGCGGCCACAGCTGGTGGGACCATGGCACGTTTGGCTACCTAACCTGATCACATGGCTCATGAACTTCACTCTGCCCTTATTGAGCTGCCTGTACACTGTCATTTACGTAGACGGTCACTGGAGATGGGCAGCCGTTGAGGGCGTAGTGTGGACGCTGGTCGCTTTGTACTCGCTACTGCTTGTAGCCATCGTTATCGAGCTATTCTTCTGGCTACCCGACAAGACAGGGCTGCTATGGGATCCGCGCTCGATTGCTGATGTTGCCGCACTCGTTGCCAATAGCAATACCTTAAGCGACTACAGAGGCACCGAAATCCTGCGCACACGCGATCAAATGAGGCGCATACTGTACAAGAGAAGGAACGATATGCTTTCGTACTGGCGCTTAGCCGAGCGTGATAGAGTGGATGAGATCTGGTATACTCTTGGCCACCAGGGTGGTTGGGACGGATTGGCATCAGATGGCGACGTGCTTGATGAGAAAGGCAGACCGCGGAGCTATGACAGCCGAGCGCAGCCAAAACATGTCGAGGACGTCAACCCTTGGGGTGACATTGAAATCGAGGGTCATGCAATGCACCCAAGAGTGCGTTATCGCTACCTGCCATTCTGCCTCAAAGATTGTCCACTTATCATCTTCATCATTGTCGGCTTCTTCTTGCTCGTGGCATTGTTCATCGTCAGCTTCATTCCTCCCACCCACGTCACCTCGAAAGGCTTTCTGCCTTTGCTATCGGCTGCACCCATTGAAGGCGCCTTCTCCGCGGCCGACTTTCTTTACAGCTTCCTTCCGGCACTGCTGGGTATGGTCCTCTTTGTGGCTTTCCAGGACCTTGATCTACAGCTCCGCATTCTTCAGCCGTGGGGTGAGCTATCGTCTCCACCAGCAGGCGGTGCTCGACCCGAAACGTCGATTCTCGCAGACTACGCTACTTGCTACCCATTGCAGGCATCTCTCCACGCCGTTCACAACCGACATTGGCGTGTGGCCTTCATCTCTTTTTTTTCGACTCTCTTTGTGCTCATTCCTGTGTTTGCAGGCGGCATGTTTCTTGCTCTCACACCAGCCGATAATATTGTTCGGGTCTATCCACAAGTAGCATTGTTTGCGATAACGTTGGCCTTGCTTGTCATCTACTGGCTCGCTCTGGTCTCGTTATTCCCACGCCGCCAGTCTTTGCGCCTCCCACACGCCGTACACTGCCTCGCGGAGATCATTAGCTTCGTCTCCAACGAGGACTGTGCACACGATGAGGCCTTCTCAGGCATGATTCGTAGTAAGACCTCGCTGGTGGGCAAGCTGGGCGTCGACAGACGCGACGATGACAAGCCCCGCTGGGCGTTGCACACAGGCGGCAACGAGGCTTTGGACGAGCGACTGGGCGTGAGAAAAGTGAAGCAGTACACCGAGCCGCAACTCATTCAAGATTCCGCGGCTGCAAGACTCATGGGCGGTGGTGGCGGGCGCTCGTCTTCTCCAGAGATGAGAATGCAGTCTAGCCTTGGCACGCGGACCATGGGCGATGGGAGTGGTAGTCGAAGGGAAGCGAGAATGAGTGCTAGGGAGGGAGCGCGGATTGGGCCGCAGTATGTCTTTCAAGCGAGGGAGGGTTGAAAGGGGGTCGAAGTCGTATGTCTCGACTATTATTTGTCCTTTTCTTTTACGTCTCCATATTGCATTGGCTAGGTGTTTTGAGATATTGCCTTTTTTCATGCTACAGTTTATGGTTTTCTTGTATTTTTGGAGACGAGCATGGATTCACTTATGCCATGGATGATGGATGATGGATAATGACGATCATATTTAGGTAATAAGTACATGGGCTTCTGTTATGAGCTACCAGGGATGATAAGGGAAAGAAAAAGAGTTGACCATGATTTGACGATTTATTTAAGCTTAGGGAGATGACGGAGAACAGCACAGTATGGAAAATAACAGAATGATGGCTCAAATACTGGATATATATCCATAAGTCAGTCAAAGAGATAGACAGGAGTGAATAGGAAGCTACGAAGAGAAACTAGAGACTGGACGATATTCGTGACGCACTG